GTAAATGCTTCACAGCTAACACGTCCATCTGCCCATTAAAAATACTGCCAATAATGTTAGAGCAATTACAAAGAAACAAAGGCTGGCATGTTTCATACATTTTAGCTAGTGATAGTGATTTAATATGATATTATTTAAAGATGGACACATGAAACACATGTAGTCTGCACATCCATGAACAAAGGTGTGAAGCCTGAAAGGTAAGTCTGTGGAAGAGCATATAAAGCTATCACCAGAACATATGCTCCTTAATCTCTTTCGTGTTTCCTTTTCATCATTAACATGGCTCCAGTGAGAAGGCAGTGAAGTGGTACAAAGGAACCAACTGTGCAACACATTCCCTTTTCATCAAGTCAACAGATGTTGCTGTATAAAGGTGAAAGGGGGATGATGTCAACCAAAAGCCAAAGAGAAGCCAGTTGAACTCCACGTCTTGTAGCCTTTCATTGATGTAACGCTTACAGTACAGTTCATCTTTTAATACTTGGATTGCTGGGCAAGTGTCACACTGTAATACAGCACCTCCCGGCAGGAGGTCTACCTTTTATGGGTTCTGTAGCACAGACTATGAATATGTATTATTGCAATCTGTTCTGTGGTAGGGAATAGGAGGAGGCTGCAACAGAGTTTACTTGAGCTATAAACCTGAGGAGTATTATATAGGAAATACAGTGAGTGTGTGTATCTGTCTTCCAAATGGACTATTAAAAGTGACCTTGAAAATAATTTAGAACATCTCTAATGGTATGTTTTAGATATTTGTACAGAAAAGGACAACAGTGTTTCCTGCACCTTTTACTTTTTTTTTTTTTTTCAAATACATTCTAATTGGTTCTAATTTGTTCACACACAAAAGTCCCATATAAATAAAACATGAAAGTCCATTAAAATACTTCTGGAAGCTTCTTATTAAAATTCTCTCTGGAGACTATAGATTGTAATGGAATATTCAGAAGGATCTGGCTCCACAAGAAGTGAAACATACTTTAAATGTGGGGAACTTAAAACATTTTAGGACTAGGCTTCTGATGAGTTGCCTCCTTGAATTTAAGAAGTGCTGTTAAAACCGCTTAGGTAGTAAAATAAAACCAAACATATATGTAATAAGGACCATATTTGGTCCCACAAATTGTTATTTTTGTTCTCTTCTGAAATGTAACAGGATCTATGTTGTACAGATCCTTACTTCCTAGGGAAATACTCATGCCATCTGCTGGAAAGTTATGGAATTTAGCAATTTTTTTATTTTTTTTTTTCCCAGCAGCATTTTATTTTACTGGTTTCTAGATGTTAAATTCTTACACCTGTTCTTTTGTAGAGATCTGTAGGTAAATGTAATATAGTTCAAAGGCATTTAAGTTACCTTGTTTGGCAGCTGACAGCCCCTTTTTGTACACTAAGAAGGTATTAAACAAATTACTGCATAATATGTGGGCTTAACTCTTTCAAGTGAAATACCAACCCAGTTTATCCAGTCACTTAACACTTAAGACTTCTTTTTGCACCTCATTTGACTGGTTAATCATACTAATTTTATGATATGGTTCACTGTGACAAGAAACTAATTAAAATCATGTCAGTTCATATGGATTACAGAAATCAAAATGATCTTCAGATTATTAGATTTCTGGACTGAAATTAGTGAAATAATTCCACATTTTCAGTTCCTTGGGCAAGCCTGTAGCTTGCATGCACCTTAGATCAGCCTAAGATGCATCTTTAGACACCCTATAATTACATGTATCCAACATTCCTACACGGATAATGTAGGATAACTATCTAATAATAAAACAAAAATCATTATGGAGCTAATAAAAACTACAAAAAAAAGCATTCTGCATTCTCAAAGGTTATGCAGAAAGGAGGACACTGTCTCCCGGATTTAACTATTAAATTATCTCCAGGTTCAAATCAGTGTGATGTAAGGAAAAAATACAGTATTTAAGCATCAAAATTCTCACCTATATTTAGCTAATGCTTGCTCTGTTACTACTCTATACCTAAGACAATTCTGAAGAAATGGAACTCATCTCGCACATGGAGCAAACTATCTTGGTATTCACTCCAGGTGAAGATACAGCAAAGAAACTGCAGAATGCAGAGCTGAATAAGCTGCCTTGAAACTGGTCCCCATGCTGAGGCTTGTGATGTCCGTAGGCAAACTTACAGACACATTCAGTCTGCCAGGGATGGACAACTCAAACAGAGGCAGAACAGTATGCTAATTAGGAGTAGAAAGCAGAGTTAAGCTAGAGTTATAGGGACAGGAAAATCAAATAAAACAAAGTAGGGCATTATATCTTTACATCACTTCATATTTTTTCTTGCACGGAATTCCACCTTCCAACCATAAATGAACCTGCTCTGTACATGAGTCAGCAAATGAGGCTTCTACCAGTAAGAGTATTTATTTATTTATTTATTTATTTATTTATTTACAAGGGTCAGAGGTATATAATTAGGGCGAGAAGGGGTAACAGAAAGTGTGTTCTCATAACTGAGAAAATGGGGAGACTGCAGGAATAGTTTTGTCTCTGACATCACTGAGTTTGTATATGATTCAGAGGGGCTCAGTTAAGTACAAAGGTCATCATAAATGGATACTAGGCAATATAAGGGGGGGGATTTTTTTGGTAATTTTTTAAAATTTGTTTTTTAAAAAGGTGGCTGGTCATGGTAAAGATTCAAGTCTGACCTTGTTCCAGTAATGTATAAAGGTAGGCTAAGATTGGGCTAGAAAAGTCCTTTGGTTCTTCTATGAAGGATGCTGCATAGCAAAGGCAGATGGGATTGTCACTATCCCATTTATGGAAGGCACTTTTGTTACATGACTCTATGCTAAGGGGTATGGAGGGTTACAGCCCTGCCACTCCCCAGAAACAGCCTTGGACCTGCATGTGAGCAAGGATTTTCATCTGCACAGCTTGGTGAGACAAGGCAAGATGTTTTTTATTCAGGTGCTGACTTAGGCATAACATATCCACAACCTGTTTTTCATTTGTTGGTTGTCCAAAATGAGAGAGTGCCAGGGCTGCAGAAATGACTGAAGTTCATTATGTTCACTCATGTGCCAAGTACAAAAGCGCCTAGTAGTGGAGGGGCAGGGGAAATATCTTAGGTTTCTTTACTTAGATGTGCAAAATTAGTGTATGTTTTCTGAACATGGCAATGTTAATGTAGTTGCGCTCCTGTTCTCTGACCTGTGGCATAAGGATGCTCAAGCATTTATGGTAGATTATAGGGTGTTAGAATAAGAGGAGTATCATGTAAGCATATCAAATGGAAATATCAAAATTAGTGCTAGGATCAGACTGAGCATGATCTATGGCCACATACATGTTGAATATATAGTGCCAGCTGAGCTTAATAACCTGTAGAAAAAATAGTATCCTGTCACAGTTATAAGACATATATAGGATAAATCTAAATCAAGACTGAATGGGCAATTTTAATTTAAGAATTTCTTTAGCTTTTCCTTCCCTTTAAAAAACTTTTCAAGTTCTGCTAATATGTTTTGAGTAAATATATACAGGGGGTTTTTGTTAGTGCAGTGTAATATGAATTACAGTCAGACTGAATTGCAGCATTTCACATGATTTCATTTAAAAATCTATATATAACCAGCTTTGATTTTTCAGCACCCTCTAGAGTAAGCAGAAAGTTCTGGCAGCCTTCCCTTTCATCTTAGATAGCTGAGGTAATATACTCCTCTTTTTGCCTTTTTATTGGTCTTCATGATACTCTGAACGTTTGAAATAGTTACGGAAGTATTGGAAAGAACTAAATTGAAACATGTTAGATTATTAAATAAGTGATCATATTATGAAAACTGTCCTTAAAATGTTTTCATGTGAAAACCCCACTTCAGAAAAGCCAACCAAATAAAAGCTTTTACTTGGCAACCAAGGATAATATTCATATTAAAGTGTAGCTTTACAAGCCTGTGGCCGATGTTTTACCTACTGTAACTGCAAAAGGAGTCTCTGGAAGATGTGCTACAAGGTTTAGCAGTTGTACACTCACCGCTCTTGCAAGAAAATCAAGTCATTGTTTACATGAGGATGGGTCAGCTCCTGCTGCATCTCACAGATCCTTCTATGGTACTGTCTACTAATTTTCTTTTTTCCCCTTTGTATCTTTTTAAACTGGTGCTTTACTTCTTGGATCTTTGAGCTGTTTCTTAATCCTATATCAATAATCTCACTTCTGTCTGCAATTTTATTAATTTGCATTATTCTCATAATTTAGCAAATTTCTCAGTAGTCTGAGCCAAATACATGCAGCTGGCCTGTCTCAAAACTAGCCCTTGGGTCACAGACAGCTGAGTCCATAGGGTAAGAATAACATATAATGAAAGCCCACCGCTGTTTCCCCCCTGCTCCCAGCCACCTCTAAATTTAGTTTTGGCCCAGGTGTTTCCAAAGACAGCTGAATCCACAGGAGAAGGATAACATACAGTGAAAGTCCACCACTGTTTCCCCTGTGCCCCCAGCCATCTCGAACCTTACGCTTTGGCCCAGGTGTTTCCGAAGACCTCCACACCACTTACTCCCCAGCTGAGCTTTCACAGGTAGGTTATGCAACCACTGTTGAAAGGCAATACTGTCTCAGCAGACCTACCAGCTTTCACGAATGTGTAATTCAGGCAGTCTCCCGGGGCGCATCTGGGCTGCTTTGTTGGTTGGTGGATGGTAAAACACTAGAATTCAGCTGCAGCAAGAACCCAATCAACAGTAATGCACCAGTAACTCCTAACGGGAAGCTAACGGTTGAAGGAAGTTACTGTCATCTGTTTCTAAGATTGTAAATGTTTTCAAACAGTAGCATTAAACTGCCAAGGAAAGGGCAACCATTTCCCTATCAGTTTACACTGGTAATTCATTATTCATCAGACAGAATTAGAGAGCTTAACTGAAGGTCTTTAAGAGAAGTCTCGAGCAATACACCATAGATGCTTGGTAGCTAAGATGCAGTTTATTCTTTTCAAGCAAAATATAACTCGATCTAAAAAACCAGTTAGATAGCTTTTTTTTTTTAAAAAAAAGCAAACCCAAAACATGTTAATTTGTTCGAAAGAACTCTGTAAAAAGAATTGAACATGGGCTTGACGTCTGGAAGTGCTTTTTATTGTTATTCTTACTAATATCGTAATATGTTTGCTGCTGCAACCAAAAACTTTGTTAAACAGGTTGGTGATGGAGGAAGACTAGTTCCAGTGCCCAGTCTTAGTGAAGCTGATAAATACCAACCTCTGAGCCTTGTGATTAAGAAAAGAAAATGCTTGCTTTCAAAAAAATCTAGGTTTGCTTCAACACCTTTCACATTAAAAGACATACTTCAAGGGGAGAAAGAAATTTCTGCAGGTAAGAATTCTATCTTTCTTCAAAGCAGAAAAAAATGCATGTTTTCTAGTAAATACAGAGCAGTAGTCATGGTTTAAACTGTGCAGGTAGTATGATGGTTCTTTAGTACATGGGTAATAAAATTGTTTAGCTTAGTCATGTAATAAATATTTAAGAAAAAAGTACAAGTCAAACTGGTAAAAATAAAGACCTTCTGGAGAAAGAGTAAGAGAAAAGTCAATTATACTAAAAAGCCTTGGTATTTTCTGAACTAATATGAAACAAATTCAGTTAAGCCTTGGTTATTTTTTTTTCACAAATTTCAACAGATTTCTAATAGATGTATGTTGATTAATTTCCACTTAAAGTTTGTCTTTACTGTTCTGTAAGTACATACTTACATGTAAGTATGTAAGTATGTACTTACAGAAGTATGTAAGTATGTAAGAATGGCCTCAGTTCTGCAGCTGTTCCGTGCTAGTAATCCCTGTTGAACTGGGCTCTGCACAGGCAGAAGCCTTTGACAACATCTATCTGACTGAAGTAATTGGAATTCCGTAAGATATTTTTCCATGTTTTTAATAATTTTGTGTATTTAAAGAGCATAACTGTGTTTAAATTGCCTTTGTTATCCAAATCAGAAATTTCTGAGGAGATTCTGTAAGAATTAGGAGCTGTGAAATTGAACTATACTGCCTATATTTTCCCATGTCTTCCTTTGAAAAGTCTGTGTAATTCTTGTCTACATGCTATGTTTTCTCAAAATAGTTTCATTGCTTTTATTTTCTTTTGCAAAAAGGTCCATTTTATCAAAAGTATTGATCACATTAATTGCATAAAAATTGCATTAATTAAAAACTCTACTAAGACAAACCAGTATGAGCTCAAGACGACAAATACTGGTTGACCCCACAAAAGGGTGATTCCAGGACACAAACATGATGTGAAAAATTGGAATCCCACTAATCCCACTAGTCTTGCATTTAGGACAAGGCAGATGACTTGTTCTGAATGTAAAAAATTGAAAAACCTCATTTAAAAGTCTGAGAAAAAGGTTGCAAAATCTCATTAAAAAGTCTCCCCAAACCTTACTAGTCTTTTCTGTAAAGGTTAGATGTCATGTGCACAAAGGTTTGTCTTTTAATGTAAGCAAAGAACTTTGTAATTAAATCTCCTTTCTTATTTAACAAATACAAGCATTTGCAATCTTTTTAGAATTATGAGAAATATATGAACATTTTCTTTTGGTTGAAAATAAACAGGATTTATACTGGGTGACTTAACAATGTCAGTTTATCCAAAAAGATTCAAAAGTTTTTAAAAAGCCCAGACTCTCAAATGTATTTGGATGCCTAATCCCTGTGTTCTACCTGCTCTATTCATTTTAATTTGGTAACCAACGCGTTCTAATATTTTTCTGTTAGTGTAATGGAAATGTATTTAAGGTTATAAAGAAAGCATTACAGAAATGCTTTGGCACCTACCCTTTGATTGTACAATAAATCCAGTCATACTTTCAAGTAAGTCAGAACTAATCTGTTGTTTCCTTCAAAATAAACTGACATAGTCCCTGGAATCATCAGGCATATATGGAAAGTGTGGTTAAGCCTTTCTAATTGTGACACGTCACGTAAAAAGCAAAGTTAATGTTACTGGCACACCCATGTCTCATTCACATATGATAAAAATGAAGAAATGCTAGGTTCATTTGTACTGCATCTAGACAAAATTTAGAATTCACTAATATTATTTTACACCCAGTGGCTTTAATTTTGTTCCTAGTTTTAAAATTGTGTAGCCTTCACTAAGTCTTGAGTTTCAGAGCCTCTGTCATTAAACCCAGAACACGCTACCTGTCTAGTTCATACAAGCACCGACAGCATACTTACAGGTAAAAGTACTTTCGGAAAATAATGATAATCACAGAAATGTAGAAATAGCCCTGATCACCATTTCATGCCCAGGACATATCACATGCAGCAGCATGGGCACAACTCTGCCAGAGAGAGGCACAGAAATCCCTCAGACCCCTAGGTGCTCTCTTTCCACTGAAAAATAAAGTGGTCAGTATAGGTCTGAATTTCACATCAAAATGGTTAAGCACAGTAGGAACAGAAGCATTTATTCTCTTCTTATTGTGTAAAAATACTGTGTTCAGACTTTTCATCACACAAAGGTTCTCTTCTTTTACTCAGGTGTCTCATCTTACCAGCTGCTCAACTATGAAGACAAATCAGATGTTTCGCTTAACGGTAGAAGAGGAAATCAGATAATGAATGATGTCGGTTTTGATGTTGCTGGATCAGATTCTGTTGCCTTTAAAGCTTCATTTGGCATAGTGACCAAACATGAAGTTGAAGTACCAACATTACTTAAAGAACTTACTACAAGGTTATATTATGTATTTTGTTTTCTGGTTACAAAACTATATTTCATACAGTTAGACTGACCTCTGAAATGGTTAGGTTTTGATTATTTTTAGCCAGTCAATAGCAGTCACTGTCTGATATTGTCCAAGAGATTCAGGTTGGATCACTGGGATTAGACACATGACCTTCTGTATAGCACAGACTGTAGAATTTTTCTGAATTAACTCTTATTTGAAATATAGCAGATCTTTCAGGAAAAAAAAAATCCAGAGAGGATGAGTCTATCCAAGGTCCTATCTATGTTATTCCATACTATTGCAAATTTGAAGTTTACTTCCAATGCCATTAACCAACTTCAGGTTTCAGAAATACAATTTCTTTGCCTTTGTCTGATGAACTAGAGAGGGATAGGTATTATTGCCAATACAGGTACTTCAAGGATTTATGAGGTTATTATGCAGCCTTTTATTTGAAAAGCAAAGTAGGTTTATCTACTTGAATTTTTCATAACCTTTTGTGGCTCTTCTCTAAATGCAGCCCTCATTTTTCCAACATCCTTGCTGAGACGTAGGCACTGAAACCCAACTTGGTGTTCCTGTAGTGCAAGCACAAATTTCAAACACACAGAAATAGGATGTGACTAATCCTAGGTGTAATTCTGTAGTTTATATTTCAAAGATTATCTCTTGGTCGCAATATCATCCCAGTGAATCCCAGCGTTGCATTCCCATAAATTAACTGTGCATGATGTGACATTTGGTATTTTCAAATATATGTTGTTTCCTTGTAGTTATTTACCAAACAGTGTGTGTCATTTTGTATCCATAACCTCTCTTGTTCTGTACCTACCTTCTTCTGGTTTATTTGAAACCTCATTATTGGGGGTGGGGTGGGGAAAGAGTTCCTAGTTTCCAGATAAAAATAGTCAAAGTTATAGGACTGAGAGCCAATGCCTGTAGAAATTCTACTACAAACACCTGTTTCATGATTGTTCCATGTTTCTAAGTTTTACAGTTTTTTTCAGTTATAGTTGACACATATCAGTTAACCAGTTTTTAATCCACTGAGTGTATGGCAGCTTGTATAAACATCATTTAGGCTTCTAACTAAAACACTGCATCATCATAAGCTTTACAGAAGCCCAAAGGCAGATACGCGTTATAGCTATTGCTTTTACTATCTATTTTCCAAAAATTCTTACTGACTGACATTATATCATTTTAAGAAAAAGTTATTAATTAGCTTGTGTAGACAATTCCTTACTGTCACTAAGAACCGTGTCAGATGGACAGGCCTGGAATTTTCCAGGATATCCCACATATCCTCTAACATTTGTACATTACTGGCTTTCCTTGAATTTTTTAGTGCTTCTGTTCCCAAACACTGAAAATCAATATTAAGTTTCCAGAGATCTCTTCGGTCAGTTGTTTACTGCTATGAGGCAGAAATTATGGTGATTTATTTATTGCTTTAAAGTTACTAATTCTATTAGCTGCTTTGTAAATTGCTAATAATCTCTGAATTTCCTTCCTGCCTCCCTCTTGATTTTAGAAAAATAAACTTTGATCATTGTCTAGTCCATCAATCAAGAAAAAGTAGGATGGAAATTTTGTGCGTGGTCATGGAAAGTATTAGAACTACAAGGCAGTGCTCTTTAACTGTCCATACTGGAATGCGTGGAGAGACAATGAGGGTAAATATCTTTGACAAAGTTTTGTAACTTAAATGAACAAACATAAAAAGCTCATTTTAATAAATTTTATGGTTATATTTAATTGCGTTTTTACTGATGTAAGCTCAGAAAAAATCTGAAGTAAATCAATAACATTGTACTGATGTAAACTGAACTAAAAGTTGGTCTTTTGTTAGTATTGCTTACGTGACTGAGGAATGGGAAATGCATGAAGGGATGGCTAGACAATGAGCCATTGCTTTGGGTGAAGCCTCAGCAAAAATGTGGAATTACTTCTTAGTTTGACCCTCCAATAAATGTATAACCTGTCTTTCATTATTACATTAATCTTCTACAACACATTGGAATTTCAGGTTGTTATTATGTCAAGGGTCAGCATCCTATTCCCTGTCTTATGTTCTTCCTCCCTTTCCTTCTCTCTCTTCAGTGTGTTTGATTAATTGAACCTACAAATCTTCTGAGGTTTGCCCATTACTAGTATTTATAAATCATTCACATAATTTTCAGTGAGTGATGCAAGTTATGTTACTGTGTCTCTATCAAACTTTAATAATTAAACTGCAAAGTTGTAAATATAAACTCTTCAGCTGTGAAATTCGACCTTCAATTTCAAAGATTCCTCCTGGCATTATAATTCCCAATATATAGTTATTATTTATTTTTTCATTTCAATTTCTAACTTTTTTTCTTTTGATGCTTTTTAAAATTATAGTTTCACATTATTGAAGATCAGAATTACAAAGGGCGGGACAAAGCCATTGTTTTTCCTGCGCATACAACTATTGCTTTTAGTGTATTTGAACTTTATATTCATTTGGATGGTAATTTTGGTAAGTGATGTGAGTTACTGTCATTACTGCTGTTACTTATATTGATCTAAATTTTTAAACCAGCTTTTTTGCTCTTAATATACCTAAGCCCCAATTCCATACAATGGTATGCTTTAATTTTATGCACATAAGTAGTCTGACTTTCTAAGGGAAACAATTCTTGATAAGATAAACAGGGCAGGTGCTAGAAAACAGTCTCTCACAGAAACATTTTAAAAAATGTTAAATATGACTTTGTAATTTTTGTAAAATCCTGCAGCTGCGTGGAACAAAAAAATCACTTCTTTACATTTCTAGCCTGTAAGGAACAGGTTTATGAGACTGTCTGATCAGTTTTACATAAAATAGGCGAGTAAAAGGACCCAAGTAAAGAAGAAAGTGTGAAGAACTTCTAAGCTAACATTTTTATCTGTTGGGACTTTAATTTCAGTCTGTTACATGATTACCACATGTAGATATCTGAAGATATTTAGGAAAAAATAATCACAATTACTGGAAGCTAATAAAAAAATTGCATAGCTCCTGTAAGTTTTTCTTCTTTTGGGGAAAGGATAGTGCTTACGTATTGACATTTTTTGCACTAATTAAAAGTGTTGCCTGCAACATTATCAATGTTATCAATATTGTTTTTAATAAGCTAGGTAGTCAGTGTAGGATTTGATCTAGTACTAATATCAAACACAAAACTCTCCGCTGACTAGAGTAATGTCAGATAAAGTTTTAACCACCAGATTCACACGTACTTAAATACAGGAACCTCTATGAGAGAGACACTCAACTGTTGAGGGAATTGCTTGACTCTCTTTAACGTTGTGGCTTTCTGTAAATAGCAAGTTAAAAGACCTCATTAGGGAAGTAAATTCTATCTCTGCAGATCTCTACAGCACTATGTTTTAAACGTTGCAAATAGCTCTGTACCCTTTGGCATATGCAGTATAAAACTGTACTCCATGATGGGTACTCTTCATTGTAAAGCACCTTTACTGAACTGTGAGATACCTTTGCCCTCCTGTAAAAACTTTAAATGCACTCCAACCCAGGCATAATTACTGGATGAAAGTTAAAGAGATAATACAATATGGTAGTTCTTTATATTCACTTCCATAATTCTCAACATTAATTTTGGTTCTGAAAGTGTTTTATTTTACTGTTACGCAATGGTAAGTACATGCACAGTGTTTTTCCTGAAGTCATTATCCATGAAATAATCAATGAAACTGATATTTCTATTTGCATGATTAAAGAGAATTCTCAATTGAGAAAGTTTAAAACATGTTTTTTCAGTTCCTTGTTATTGATTATTCTTATATTTAACTTTAAAGGTTTTTCTTTCAAGTTAGGATGCAAACTTAGGTGATACTTATTTTTATTTAAAAAAAAACCTTTTAGTAGTTGATTCGGTGTTGGAAAAGGTGACTCTTCCACACACAGCCTTGCTTATTATTTTTCAATTTTAGTTTTAAATGAGATCATAGAAATGTTTCTCCTTTAGAAGTGGGGCTTCCATTTATATGATACTGACTGTCTTAATCCCTTAACATGAGTGTCTTAATCCCTTAACACGACCATAAATTCTGTATAAACCAAAACAAACTGATGATGTTATGTTGAACATTCTAACATTCTAAAATTCCCACTGAATCTGTGTCACTTGATTTTATGGGCTATTACTGTGCACAGACTTTTATTAAAAAGTGCTACTAGCCATTAAAAACATTAGCAAATCTGAAATTAATCACTGTTAGCTTTATAGATTAGAAAGCATATTAAACTGTTGTGCAATTATTGCTTTTATATTTTCTTCAAAAAACTCATTTTTAATTTTTACAGAACTCTGTGTGACTCCAATTTCAAAAGGAGGATTTGAAAAAGAGAAATCTGGATCATCTTCCCTGACCAAATTAAGGAGGTTAAAGACTAATCTGTTTCATCGAAGTATGACTTTTGATATTTATATCCAAATGTCTTAGTTAATGCATGAAGAGTGTATTTTTGTTTCTTTGTGTGCAAGATGAACATTTAAAGAAGAAAATTTCAATGGAAAATGTACCTTTTGTGTATTGAAATGATTGTAAAGTTATTAAAATTTATATCTGAGAATCTGACTCTTTCACAACAAATTTATGGTACTGCTGTTCGTTAAAACTCTAAAGATCTTAAAATAAAAATTTATGGCTGATGATAAACTGGTATGGAGTAATTATACAAGTAACTTCCGTTAATATTAAGCCTATTTTGTGTGCTTGCCATTTACAGTTAGTGTTATGCAATGCAAATTATAATCTATAAATAATATTTCAGGGCAAACTAAATTTGAATATCAAACACTGTTAATTTGAATGTACTCTTTGGGCTGTATGTTTACATGGCAGGGACATGGGCAAGACACCGTCGTAGTTCTCTTTTCTTATTTTGATATGAACACAACATCCAATAAAACTGTCACTGTGTACAGCTATATTTTCTTCAGAACAAGATCCTATACTTTTAACAATCCTTGGTCTAAGTACTTTGGAAGTCTGAAAATCTGAGCGTGAAGGTAAATGTTGAGCAGTAAATCCATCCTTCTAAAGGCTGCTCTGTATAGGTGTCCTTGCTCCATTGTATCCCATTCTTGATCAAAGGGCTTTTATGGACCAAGCCTCCGGTGCTGCTCCAGTCCACACTTCTGAGATGTGATACATCTCAGTAGCTGTAGCTGCCTAAAAGGCTGTCATTCAATCTAAACTAATCAGTCCCTGAAGAGAGAAGAAAAAGGTAGGTAGTTTCAAAAGTGATTTCTTCCTGGGGTGTTTGGATGCTCAGAAATCCACTAGGAGGTCAACATGGAGTCCTCCAAATTGTTTAAACGGTGGGGTTTTTTGGTAAATACCAGAGAAAAAAGTGAATTTACAATTTTTGGAAAATAAAACTAGAAATGAAAAAATAAAAATGGTTAAACAGGAAGGTATGCAGCTGTGATTTGGCACCAGTTTTTCAAAAGTTTGCCTCATGTATATCTTTTTGGTGTATTTCTAAATATAATTATACAGATCACATAAAAAAAAATTCTGGCTTTTGTCTGTCTTGTGAAATTAAAAATTTTCATCACACAGGGCTGGGAAGCAATCTACAGTGTGGCATGTTTAGAATGGTTTCATGAATTAGTTGTTATTTTTGTAATTAGACTGACAGGTTGTTTTCTAAACAGTTCATATTGTAATGACAACTGACAAAATGCTTCTTTTTTGTGTGCATTCTTTTTCAGATAAAAGAGTAGTGGATATCATTGCTAATTCTGATGCTTACTTGGAGGACATTTTTACAGATTATTATGAAAAAGCTGCGAGCATGACTGACCTCTCTACAAGCTATCTCAGAGAAGGGTCTCATATCCGAATTAATTTACTTAATAACAACATCCCCAAAGGTCCCTGTGTCCTTTGTGGAATGGGAAGTTCTAAAAGGGAGACAGTCTATGGATGTCTAGAGTGCTCTTTTAATGGACAAAAGTATGTACGCCTGCATGCTGTGCCCTGTTTTGACCTCTGGCATAAGAGAGTAAAGTAACTGAGCGAGGTAAGTGCCTACTGTCACAGACATGGGCATAACTGTGCCACAAACTTTTCAGAATTGGTATGACTCAAATTGTTGAAATGCAAAATAGTGGAAGTGCAAAACATTTTATTACACTATTATCTTCAAATTATTTGCTTCATAGTCAATGACCTTTTGCCTGAAAATGCCCTTGTGCATTCCCTGATATTGCTTTTCTTCTAACTCTCTCATTATCATAATAAAAAATGTACTTTTAAACTGAATTTTCAGAATGTCACAATATACGCTAGAACTTACTTTGTTTACACAAACTTGGTGTTAAACCCCAAAATGTTGCCCTTATCTACACTGGCATATGATGGTAAAATGAGAATATTTGTTAATAATTTAGTGTTCTCATGAATGTTTAATTGAAGGATCAGATTAAAAAACATTCTAAAACTTAGCTCAGTCTAATGTTTCATTTACAAAAGGGAACAACTAAAATTAGGGGATAGGCATTTCATATTAGGATGCCGTTACCATATGTCAACAGTTTATTTGGATTACTAAAAAGTACCAGCCAGTCCACCTGCTGCATTTGAAGTCACAGCTGCTCTTGACTTTCTTTTATGTGTTCAGGAAAAAACTGCTTATCAGAAAATGTTTTGGAATTTTACGAAAATTAACAGAACTACATCCTTCCAACTAGACTTCAGGGGTGAAGATCTTCAACCAGTAGATCTCAACCACAGAAAACTGTCTGTTGAGAATATAAACACCAGAGGGCACTACAGAATTGCGTCCAATACTAAGATTGGAGTGCTGTTGGTTGAAGCTCTCCCCACGCTATTTTAAATTGAGAAAACAATTAAAAAATGTTTTTCTACCTTTTGGAATGATTTTAAGGATAAACAAGGTAAGGAAGCTTTCTTATTTGTGCTGCCACTTTCACTGTGTCCATCTGATTACATGATGAAATAAATACAGCCACTGCTTTTCACATGAAAAGAGTAAAGTATATTACACAAGTAGTATGATGACATCTGCATGAGCAGAACACTTAATGAGCCTGAAATACTATTAACTATTGCTGCTACTTTGCATTTTTCCAAAGTGAGTGAAACCAGAATGATGCCCAAATAATTATTTAAGTTTATACAGAGTATCTCCCCTCATCTTCCATCTCATCCAGATAAATCACAACAGTGCAGATTTTCAACTTGGTGCTGCTGAATAAACTGGCTAATTTAGTAATTTTACCAAGTCAAAGTTTAAAAATCTGCTTATAATAATGCTTTTTTTCAAGAACACCAAATAATTCATCTTAATGTTACATCAAATAGGTTATTTTAAGTTGCTATAAAAACATTTATGTTTTTATCCTGACATTCCATAGCCAGTGTTCATTTATTTATTTATTTATTTATTTATTTTATAGTTAAATTTGCTGCAAACAGCAATTTCTCAAGAAGCTAGCCTAGGAGCCTGCAAAAGTTTAATGGAGTTACCTTCCCATGATTCTGTTTTCTCTTTTATTGCACAGGGGACTGAAAAGTTATGTCCTAACTAGGTCAACAGATACTGGAACCATTTTTGTGTGCTTGATAGGACAGAAATAATTATTTTCATCAGTATTTTACACAATGAGAAAGACTACGGAGCAGTATTAGAGATTAGGACCACTAATAATAGATCATGGTGTTTTCCAATTTTATTTGTTTTCTTTTGAAATGTTACACATTTTGTTAGTTGAATGTTAAAAATAAGATTTTTACAGTCACCTGAAGAGATATAAAAAGATGCCACTATAAAAAAATACAAAAAATTCTGTGACAAAGTATTATTTCAGTGTCCAGAAAGCGGCCAAAGATTTTTTTTAAGTACTTAGAGTTCATCATGCTGGTAGACATTGTACTCCTTTGCTGATATGAAACCATCTCCATCATGGTCATTCTTCTTAAATATATCAGCTAAGATTTCATCATGGACTGAGGGATGACGTTTTTTGCCATCTCTTGCAAATTCTTCTTTCAAATACTGGCTTATCTATAAGAAAAGAAGAAACGTCCAACCATTGTGGCTTTTATGCCTGTACTCAACAGCTATATTCAAGGACACTTGGGGAAATAACAGGTAAGTTATTGTGACTCCAGTGCAAACACATCTAAAGTTTGTTTCCCAACAAGTCTGAGACATACTAATGTATCAATCAAAGCAAATTTCAGCACTGCACAGTGTAGTTTGTGTAAGCATACAGAAGCTTTACATGATCAACTGCAGCAAAGGCAGCTCATGTAAAGAGATCACTCTGCAACTATACGTACAATTTTATAAATTATTTATTTCAAATTAGTTACCTCAAGTTCAGAGAGTTTCTTGTCACCATCCTTGTCTATTTGATTAAATGCTTCAACGCTGCGAGGTCCCTTATTTACTGCATAAAGTTCAATCTCAAAGATCAGCGTTGCATTGGGTGGAATCTTGCCCTGTTCTGTGATTAAAAAGGAAAAAAATAACTGAAAAATCAGACACTATGGTCAGAGATTACACATATGATAAATTCACACATAAAGTGTCTTTTCTTTAATTACAAAAGGCTGTGTTAATAGACATTAAACTCTGAATTTAGATATTATACAGCTAGACAGGAAGATTGTTTAGACTGTGTTGGATAAATGATTGGCAGATATTTGCAACAGTATACTTCTCTGAAACAAAATTATATTGCTCATATCAATTCAGGTACTTTTAAAAATTAAAAGAATGTGTTATGATGAGAAACAAGTACTTTTAAAGTTCTCACTCTTTCACATACTGTCATATGATAGGGCTTATTGAGGGACTGATACTAAACACGTGCTTTTATTAAAAATCTGCAATCTGATTTAAAAGATTGCAGTGATAGACTAATGCTCATATGTATTTTCTGTTTGAAGAAACAAGCAGGCAGTATCAGGTTTTACCAACTTACTATGAATTATACCTGTGGTTAAAAGACTTGATGTAAAATAGTGTTTAAAATATGCATCTCATTAAAAAGAAGCAATAGAATGTAAGTCATCTCATTCACAGGAAAAAAAACAAAACAAAACCAAACCCCAAACTACTGCTCTCCTCAGAAAATAAAACATGTTAGACTTCATTATTCCTGCATCAATGTGTTTTCTGATGTCTGCTATAATCACAGGTCAATGTATCCTGCATCTGGCAAAACAAGGGAACTGAAGAGAGAGAGTAACAAACTAATGAGATCTAAAAGTAGTGCCAAAAAAGCATCAAGAAATCATGCAGTGTAAAATTAAAATGTAAACATGCAAGTTGCTTCTGTTCATAGCCAAAGCCAGCGAGCATGACATTGTGACTTCAGAATTTTGAGCCTGTGCCTGTCCTTTCTAAACTGAAGAAAAACTAAAGAATCTACTTTGTTTATAGTATAAACAAAAAGAACGTAAATAAACCTCACACTACTCATCTACCATATCGACAGTAAAAATGACAGGTTTCAGAGTTCAAAAGATTTTAATTCTACAAGCTTTAAAAATGTAGACGTTTTAAAGATATCTGAATATACTACTTATGAAAGAAAGATACTAAAATTCAGTGCCAGTAGTTTACAAATATACATACCAACAAAGGAAAGTTATGTATAGATTTAGAAAGCCACATGCATCTTTTCTAATTCAAGATTAGGCAGGCATCTTCCCCAGCATGCAGGAATACACTGAGACAGAGGACAGGTATGCTGTAGGAATACAGTACTTCCTTGAAGTGCTACCTAGAACAAACAGTTAAGGTATTAAGAACATACTTTAGTACTTGGTATTAAAGAACATACTTTTATTTGTGTCAGTGTTTCTTCCTTGTTGTTATGAGACTGACTTATTACACATTATGCTCAAGGGAAAAAATTTATTCCTGGTAAACTTCACTGGCTACAGTGGAATTGTATGAAAGGCAAAACTGGTGCATGGAATTCTGACATAATGTCAGAAGCGGGACGTGACAACTACCAAACTAATATTATGGAGGAGGAGATACCTTTACACAAAAGCTACTACGACCCAAGTCAGAGTTTAATTTACGTTACCTACCATTAAAAGTGCTGAAACACTACATGAAACTCTGCCTGAAACTTTTTTTTTTTTAAAGTAGACCGCACACTAAAGCATCATAAATTCAAATCAGATTTCATGCCTTGTACTGTTGCATTATTATGTAATGTGATGATACCGTTCATTAACTATCCAGAATTTAAGCAGTATTTTAAACAAATTATTTCCACCTAGATTAATTCTGTGGCATGCACTGGATTACATTCCATTTTGCTCAGAAGATGCAGAATGTCGTTAAAAGGCTAAGCAGGTAGGAAAATAACAGAAACTAAACATGAATATAATGTAATAGATTAAGACAAAAAATGCTGGTATGAATCACTAAGATCTTCCTTTTGCTGACAGTTTTTTGTATTATGGCAATACTTGGGAAAACACATCGGGTGTTATGTACTGACTTCTAGTGCAAACAGCAAGGCCTGGGCGAGGGTCTGTGATGAGGACTACTTACACTGCAAAGGAATGTGCAGGATTAGGCTGCACAGCTTTAGTCACCACCTTCAGTGACTCCAAATAACGGAGCACCAATTCTTACAGTCATTTACAATACTGTATGTTGGAAAGGGTAAAACAGAGGAAAGACAAAGTTTAGTATTAAAACTTCTTTTTTACCGTATCCTTGCTGTCCATATGCTAATGATGGAGGAATGACCACTTTCCGTTTTTCTCCAGGACACATATTCATCATAGCAATATCTAACCCTTTTATGACTTGTCCAACACCCAGAACGAACCATTTTGGATGACCTTCATTTTGTGTCCGACTATTAAAAAGAATTGTGAGTGGATACAGTGAATTTAGTATTTTTTTAAAATTAAAAATAACTTTAAATTAGCAGTCAGTAAAAACATACATTAGATTATTAGAACACAAGAATGCTTAGAATACAAGAATATGAACTATTAATACTTTTTTTCTGCTACATTTATAATTAAGGTCAAATCTTGAGATGTACAAGGGGCAACCTCTTTTTGAAATCAAAAAGCCAAGTAAAAACCCTAACTTTTACAAAAACATCCCCTCTTCCTGATCATATACACTGCATGACAGAAACAAGGTGCCACTGCAAGGAGCCTGTGAGAAGAGGAGCACTGGGAGAAATTCATCGCTAGGAAATGAAAATGTCTTCAGCAGTTCAGTCACTGTACTATGGGATGAGACAGAGCACACACGGGTGTGCTGGGGGAACCTGGCAATTTTGGCTGAAGAACTGTGCGCTCACCCACCGCTTGTGCAGTTTAAATGTTCAGCGCTTGAGCCAGACTCTGGTCATATGAGGTGTCCTCCGTATGGGAGCTACACTGCACAGTGACTGAGCAGCATGCAGCAAGTTAGAGAGCAACACTGTATGTGCCAAAATCAGTTAACAGGCAAAAACAAAAGCAAGTAAAATCGTATTGTTAAATGTAGAATTATCCTTCACTAACTTTCTCCTGAATGATACAAGTAGGGGGAACGAATCAAGATTTTGTAATAAACTAGGCCACCGTTTGTAAGATTTGTCCAAACAGGGGTAAGGAATGAGCCAGGTACCTGAAGAAAAATCTCTCATTCACTGTTCTGCACAGGTTGAGTCCTGCTCACTAATAGGATGCGCCACCATTAAAAGCAAGAGACTGTAAAAATAAAGCCTTTGCACAACAGTTTCTGTGCAAAGCAAGCTGAAACAGCCTGAAGGTAGGTGGACGGGACAAAGTGAAGAAGCACAAGTCTAAAATCTAACATTGGGTCAACGAGAAAGGCAGCACAAACCGAGCAGTGAAAGGGAACGGGCATAGACCACAAACCACTAGAGTACTGTGGCTGCCCTGCTCAATGCCAACTATGTAGAAGTGCATGTTGTACTCAAGTTTCTGCCTAAAATAGTTAGTTTGGGTCCCTACCAGGTGCTCCATCTCCAAGCCCGAGTTCTTCTGCAAAGATTACAGCACAGAACGTGGCAGGTGATAACATGGTGGGTTTTTTCCCACTCTGCCAAAGGGGCTCTCCCTGCGAGGTGTGGGATACAGGCTCCCTGCGGTCCTCCCAGCCGGTCCCTTCGCTGACAACGGCCGCCAGTCTCAAGCGTGATTTCCAGCTTACCTCAGCGCTAGTCCCTCTTGACCCTAGGTAAATCCTACGTCCTTCAACCCGCAGCCAAGGAAAATTAAAGGCTGAGATGGGGGAGATGACTAGTGCTAACGTGTTTAGCGTAGACCCCAAGCTGTGCCCGTTCTGGGAGAGCAGTGCGTCCCGCTGCTCCTGGAGCCGGGCAGGCTCTGCCACGTCTACCGCCGGGCTAGGGCCTGCCTTCCCTTCCATCCTACCCGGCGCCTCGGGGGCCCACCTGCAGTAGAACTTGGATCCGTCACTGGCCAGGAAACCGTCGTAGTGCGCGTTCAGCAGATCCCCCTTCTTGCTCTTCGGGCTGCAGACCTCGGGGAGGTGCAGCACCTCTATTTTAACCTCCTCCGCCGTCGCCGCGCCGCCTTCGGCCTGCGCCGTGGCCGCCAGCAGGGCCAGCGGCAGAAGGAGGAGGCTCAGCCCACGGCCCATATTGCTTCCACGAGGCCGCCGGCGTGGCACTGTCCCCGGGGGGCTGA